ATATAACTGAAATGATATATATATATATATATATATATATATATATATTCATAGATACAAACTTTGTTTGGGTTATCGCAATTATCAATAATAAAGATTTAATTTAGTTATAATTTTGACTAGAAAATATAAAGATAAATTAAGTGATTAAAAAATGTAACATTTTTATGTAATCACATGTAATATAATCCCAGTATATATATATCAAAAATATAAAATATAAAATGGATGATGCAAATGATATATTATAAATCTAATTGAAATGTTCATAAATAATAATCTATATATGTACCTTTAATTTCCTTTGAATAAACATGGAAGTATTGTAGGAGGAGTCTTGCGATAACCTTTTCATCTTTCTTTGAATTAATGTATTACGTATTTAGTAATTTCTAAAATACAACTTTCACATTCGGTAAAACAAGAGAATAAAAACAAATGACTATTTCTTCAAAAAAAAAAAGAAAAAAAAAAAAGAAGAAGCAAGAAAAAAACAAAAGAAGCACAATTTTCATAACAATGATTTTAACACCAGGATCAAAAAAATAAATGAAAAACACAACATGACACAAATCAAGAACACACACAGCACACAATTATAAACACACAATAACACTAGCACATATTTTATATATTTTCGTGAATAAAAACTTGATCCTTGATTGTATTTATTATTGTCCAACGTTATATTCTCACAGCTTAATGATTGAAAAAATTAAAATAAAAGGTTAATAAATGGGCTAAAGGATGTAATACACAAGGGCAAGAAGAGAAACAACAGGACGACTCACCTTTTGTAGAAATTCTCTTCGACGAGGACCGGCATGTATGAGCCACAATTTTAATTCGTAATTATCAAATTTATAACTAATATTCATCGTACTTTATAAAATGAATAAATAATAATATAAAATATTAAGAACAATAATGGAAATATTATGTAAACAATTTTACATAAAGAAGCGTAAATAATAATAATAATAATATAATAGTAAGTAATAATGTTCCAATTTATTAGTTGTCACTTAAACGAATAAAATAAATTTTCTTATTCTTTGTTTTTGTTTTTTTTTTTTTTAATAAAAAAATTATTAATACAACACAACAAGGTCGAATTAAAAAAAAAAAAAAAAAGAAAGGAAGAGGAGAATGTATCTACTGTATTAATACAGCAGCACTGAGAGACACAACACAATAATATTCACCACCGTTTCTCTGCTCTCACTAAAACCGTATTTTGAAATGCACATTTATGTTTCGTTTCCTGCCTGAAGCGCTTTTACAGAATTTGTCGGAACTACTAACAAAGAGTCCCTCTAACATATAACCGGTCCCATTGTGTCTTTACTGTATATACTGTATATCTTTCCTTTACAGGAGTGGGGGAGAAAAAGAAGGATCAAAGGGAAATAAAATAAATGAAGCAAGAAATAAAGAAAGAAAAAAAAAAAGAAAGAAAATAAAACGAAGAAGAATTTTCCAAATAAAATTTCAATCAAATGAAACAAGGGAATTTCTTATTAGCGTTTATATACTAACTCCAATAATGAATGGATCCTTCTTTTTCTTCTTTTATTATCTTATAATTCGTCATTTCTTTTTCTATTCTCTCCCTTATCAAATTTCGTATTTCGTTACTTTGTATTTTGACACTCGCTTGATCTTAACTCGAAAAGGGGAGGATATATTATTTCGTTGATCTACGTGTAATTTGAAATTAACCGATGATAATACTACGTAAATCATACGACACTATTTTCAAAACGTTCAAATGAATAATCAACTATTTCAATGGAAATCCTCTTTCATTCGTTAGAATAATGTTTCCTTGATGATAAAATAAAACATTGTTGATATTAAAAAAAAGAAAAACAAAACAAAATAACTTTTATCCTCACATAAATCAGTCGAAGAGGAGAGAGAGAGAGAGAGACACAGTTCTTCATGGACGGCAGGAAAACCAGTTACTTATTTTTTGTTCATTGAATTTCCATTACGTTATTTACATTATATCTGTAAAAAGAAACCTTTTCTCAAAGTTGTTGAAATTTAATATTGCAATATATGTGCCATGATGTGTTATATTGTGAAAGAACGAAATTGAAAAATTTTACAAGATGGTTGCTTACTACTCTAGTAGTACGAGATATTGAAAAATTTGAATACATATATATATATATATA